TTCTTGAACGCCACCGCGACATCTTCGTATATGGTGGCCGCTGGCTCCCAGGAATTCTCGACGTCTTGGAGACCACGCCACTTGATGAGAACTTCATAGGATTTCTTCACTGCAATGTAGCGAGCGTCCAGGATGGCCTCCACCTCGTAACCCTCAGAGTTGTGGGCCACATGTTCCTTGAAATCTTCGGACAGATGTAGACTCTTGTCAGCGTGAAACTTGAGGCGGCTGGCATGAGCTTCTCGCTCGTCGCCGGTGATGAGGTTCTTGACGACGTACAGCCAACTGCTGGTCACAAAAGTCACCACAGCAGGCCCACACCAGGTGGTACGCAACTTGGCGCGATGGTGCTGCCAGACGTCTTGGTAGAGCACATAATCACCCACAACGAACTGGGCCATCTTGACACCACGCTTCTTGTCATGTGAACTTCGCGCTCGATCGCGCTCAATGCATTCGCCGTATTCATCTCCTTATGCATAGCGTCCAGGGCGGCACGTGCATTGTCAATGTTGGCACGCTGCATCGACTCGATCTCATTCAGGGTTGCTGACTTTAGGGAGCCAGGTAAAGAGATCGTGTCCATAGGTGACATGGCCGGACGGCCAGACATGGCGGTGACAGGTGCAAGGCCACCTAGAGATTGAGACGGAAGCTGGTTCATGATGAGCATGATGACCAGGTGGATCTCGTTCCACTGAGTTGTCGCCATGCGCCACTATCTCAAACAAGCCCGAAACAGACGCAACACTTGACGCATCACTACCTCGACTGTCCCATTCTCCCACGGACAGCGAGCTGTGGTGAAGTGATGGTGCGCTCCCAGGACATGTTGGAGCTCGGCGATGACTTGGTTCTTAAAGTGAGTACCTTGGTCCGACACCCATTCATAGCACACACCAAACACCGCAAACCATTGGAGCAGACAGTCCTTGGTGAACACTGCCGTGGCCTCCTTGGAAGGAAATAGCCACACCAGTTTGCTGGCGTCACACTTGATCACCAACAGATACTTGTCACCCGTCTTGGAGTTTCCCATGAAGAGATAGTCCCAGTGCAGGGCTTCCCCCAATGGTCGTGGCGCACCACCGGATACACTGGCACAATGCAGGCAGCGGTCCATGAAGAACTGCACGTCCTTCTCCATGGTGCTCCACCAGCAGAACGCCAACAAACTCTCAAGAGTCTGACTGGCAGCCCGATGTCCGGCCAAACTCGCATGGGCACACACACACACAAGCGTAGCTGCAGTTCGCTTGCCTCGTCTGGCACCCATAACACCTGGTTAACCAACCGTAGCGACCACGTCTCGCCGGAGTCGAGTTGGATTTGATGCTCGGCCAGCTGGCTAGAATCCAGAGGTAGAGCAACCGGAGTGTTAGTGTCCAGCCGTTCTCGTTGGGCGGCTCCAATGGCCACCAAAGTCGGCCACTCAAAGGAGCTGCTTCGCAAGGGAGATACCATCAACGGTTCTCGGCTGATGGTACAAATGGACTTCAGGGGCGATCCCCAACGCGAGAGCAGGTCGGTCCACACGTTCGTCGCTCCAGGTATGTCGCGAATCTCGTTGCTGTAGCCCATCAACAAAAGAGCCCAGCGTTCCAG